AAATGGTACATATATAAATATTCTTAGACATTTTTGCATTTTACAAGGTTGAGGATTCTTGTTGTGGGTTTGCACGGGTGGGGCGGGGGCCCGTGGGTTCTTTTTCTGTCCCTCGGGAGGACGTGGGGAGGGGGGAGTCTCACCCCAAGACCTGCGGTTGCTGCCTAGGTCCGAATCGATAACAGCGTTTGTTTTGTTGTTCTTGGTTGCCTTGAGAAATAATAATAATAATAATAATAATAAAAAGGAAGAAAACAAAAGAAGGAGGGAAAAGCAGTGGATCTAGAGCCGATCACCTGATTTGTTACGGAGACGGAGCCTGAGCGAGCGGGCGCAGCTGGCGCGGCGCCGGTCCCGGCCGCCGCCGCCTTCAGTCCATGTCCACCTCCTCGCCATCCCCCGAGCCGGGGCCGACAGAGGCGCCGGGCTCGGCCACGCCGCCGGTGACCGGTTCCCCTGCGGGGCTGGGAGCCCTGGGTCCGGGCCCTGGGGACGGCGGGGACGACGGGGGCGGCGGGGCCGCAGGGCAGGCGCTCCCCGCGTCCCCACAGTCCCCGGCCCCGCCGTCGTTCGCCGCCACCGAGGCGAGATCGCGGAAAGGCGCGGGCACCGGGGTCCCCGGAGTCCCCGGGGAGGCGACGGCCTCGGCGGGGCTGCGGCGGGCAAAAGCCGAGTCCGGAGCGTTGCCGGGCCCGGAGAAGGCCCCGAAGCTGGCCTGGGCCGGGGGCGCGGGCGGCGCCGCGGGTGCGGGCGGCGCGTCTTTGGGCGCCAACTCGGCGCCCGCGCCCCCTTTGAGCGCGGCCTGCGGCACCAGGAAGCCGAGCGGCTGCGTGATGGGGTACAGCAAGAAGTGGCCCTTGCCGATGAGGGTCCGCGGCGCGCAGGGCAGCCCCGGCGCGAAGTCCAGCCCTGCGGCTGCCGCGGTGGCGTTGGCCGGGGCGGCTTTCCGGCGCGGCGGCGAGTCGGACAGCAAGCTCTCCACGCTGAACGGGCTGGCCTTGGGCAGGCCCGCCGCACCCCGCTCCGCAGTCGCCGCCGCCCCGGGGCCGCACGGGGCCGCGTCCTTGTCCGCAGGGCGGCCTAGCCGCGGCTGCGGCCCGGTGCCGCTTCTTTGGCTCTGGTAGAAGGCGGGATCGCAGGTGCCGGGCGCAGGTGGCTCGCCGGGAGGGGCGGGCGCGGAGCCCGGCGCGCCGGAGGCGTGCGCACCGGGGCCCTTGGCCGCGGCGGCGGCGGGCGGCGGCGGCGGCTCGGGCGGCTCTGGGGATAGGCCGCCGCCGCCGCTGTCGCTGTCGGAGCTGGGTGCGCTGTGCAGGGACAGGCCGCCGGGAGAGTGCAGGTGACGGCTCTGGCTCTTGAGCAGCTTCTTCTCGTGCTTGCGTTTCTTTTTCTCCATCTTCTCCAGTTCCTTGCGCGCGATCTCCTCGGGGTCCATAGGCTCCCCGCTGCACGTGGTCGGATGCGAATTGTGCGCCGGCCGCCCTGGGCCCTTCTTGGTGTTCTCCTTCTTCCTCCACTTGGCCCGGCGGTTTTGGAACCAGACCTAGAGCAGCCGGACAGGGGGAAAGGAAGGTATCATCAGGCTGCGGGCCTCCCATGCCCCAAAACAGGCCTATGAGACCTGGGCCCAGGCCACGCTCCTGGACAGCCCTGGGCTGGGTCTGGACCCTCGGATGGCAGCTCCCAGCGAGGATCTTTTCCACCCGGAAGGAGCGTAGATGGGGCCTCCCGGCCAGCTTCCCACTATGGCTTCTCACCTCGAGCCCCTGGGATCGGCCCCTTCCTCAAGCACGGGCCGGTGGGGCCCGTGAGCCAGGGCGGCGAGTTTCCTGGTCGGGAGGCAGAGGTCAGGGGCCCTCCTCGACGCTCACAGTCCTGCCGCGGAGCCGCTGCGATGGGCCGGCAGCCCTCCACACCTGTCTTCGGCCCCTTGAAGAATGTCAAGGCCCAGATTTCGAGTCTCCCTTGAAGGGAAATCTGGATGCTTCTTCGCCAGGAAGGGCCTGGGAGGCCACATTTGGATGGGCCTTCTGCAACTTCCCTCCCCAACACGGATACACGCGCGTCCTTTTTCTGAGCTCAGGACCAGAGACCGGCAAGAACCTTCCCAAACCAGTCCTTTTTCCGTCTGGGAAGATAAGCACCCGGTCACTAGGCACCCGCCTCCAAGGAGAGGTTCTGGGCCCCCTGACTTTTTTTTTTTTACGCGCCCTGCCCTGCAGGCCTCATCCTGGGGAGCAATGGGGGGGGGGGGATGTATAGGCACAGCAGCCCTTTACCCGGGCTGCACCTCGGACCACCACACAAGCTTCAAACCCATAGAGCCTCCATAGGGCAGGGCTACCGTCCCCTGGAGAGCGCGATAATTCAAATTCTTTGTTGTGCCCATATAGAGACTTGGCACAATAGCAAACCAGGCCTGTTCCAAGTGAGTCTAGTAGGTGCAGAGTCCCCAAATATTGATTTGAGGACCCCTCCAAGAGTCAGAAGGCACTGCTTTTTAAAAACAAACAAACAAATGTGTGTGTGTGTGTGTGTGTGTGTGTGTGTGTGTGTGTGAATTCCAGGATGCCCTGCTCCACAAAATGGAAATGAAGGGGGCTTGACTTCACTTAAAGACACTTAGAAAAAATTGGATGAAAGGTTTTCAGAAGAGAACAGGCCAAGAGAGGAGGACCAAGCAGGGACCAAAAGACCTTTTAAAGCCAAACTATTGGTACTAAGCAGGCATTGAACCAGCGTTAGCCTCAAAACCAGGCACCCCAGTAGCCCATCACACCCATTCCTGACGCCAAGAAAATGAGTTGTCTATATTCCATGGAATTATAATTATACATATATCATCTTGGATTTTTTTAAGATACCAAATTGACTCTGTATTTGAAAAGAAAAAAACAAACAACGAACACCCAAGTTCTGTCTCTGGATGAAATCAAGCAACGGGAAGAAAGAAAGCCAAGATAAAACTGGGAGCTTGAAAAAAATCAAACACCTTTTTCTCCCCCCCCCCCCCAGCCCTTCCCCACTTCGAAATGTGTTAACAATTGAAGTTTTCGCCTCCCCTTCCCTTCGATGCCCGCCTTCGACAACGCGATAAATAAAGATATGTTTGTATCTGAATCTGAATAGTTCGCAGAGGTGAGGTAAACAAACCGACTCTCCAGCTCCAGACTGGGCTGGGGGGAAAAGTCTTCCACCCTCAAGCGCTAGAAGGCCGGGCCGATCTTGTCTCTCTCTAGTCCCCTCCGGGCCGGCCCTCACCATCCTCGCGCGCACCAACGTCCCCCCTCCCCCATTTCTTCTCTCTCGACCCTGTGGGGTTCGAACCCACGTTAGTGCTTCCCGGCTCGGACGCAGCCTCTGTCCTGGCTACGTAGCGACTGCTGCCAGCCCTTTCCTTCCCCAGCCACCTGGGCTTGCGCGAGCTACTCATCCCCAGTCTCAGGAGGGGCCCAGCCCCGAGTTCCACCTCCCCTGCCCCGGCACCCCAGCGAGCTCAGCGCCGGGGACCGCGTCCCGGCATCTAGAACAAAGGCGCGCGCACGGGCGGCCGGCGCGGGACGCGGCTGTTTACCTGGACTCGGGACTCCACCAGGTCCAGGCGCAGCGCCAGCGCCTCGCGCATGAACACATCGGGGTAGTGGCTCTCGTTGAACGCCTTCTCCAGCTCCTCCAACTGCCAGCCGGTGAAGTTGGTTCGGGTGCGCCGTCGCTTACAGCCCGGACTCTCCTTATCTGGGTCCCCCGAGTCTGCACAGGACACGGCGCGGCTCAGCCACCGGTGGCTCGGGCCAGGACCGACCGACTCTGCTATCCCCAGGACGCGCGGGTCCGGGGCGCACAGAGGCCGGGCGCGCCTCCGTATCCATCCATCTATCCATCCACCCCCCCACCCCACACAGCCAACCCTCGATCGGAGAGGAACCCCCCCCCCCGCCCCACCTGCCGCCCTCCCCCGATCTTACCTGAGAGCTTGAAGGGCTGGCTGTCGCCGGCCACCCCGCAGGCGGCGGGCAGCAGCGGCGTGGGGTTGACCACCGAGGCGGCGGCCGCGGCGCACGAGCCGCTGAGCAGGCCGTCGATGGAGAAGGGGACCGAGGCGGCGGCGGCGGCGGCGGCGGCGGCGGACTGCAGCTGGTGACCGGCCAGCTCGTACACGTGGTGGTGGCCCAGCGGGTAGGGGAAGCCCACCACGCCGCCCAGCGAGCCCCCGAACTGGGCATGCGGGTGCTCCAGGAGGCGGCCGTCCATCATCTCGCGCGGGGGGCCGGCGGGGCCGCTGGCGGGGCGCGGGGGCGCGGGCCGGGGCCGGGGCGGGCCAGCGGCGGGAGGCGCGGACGGCGGCGGCGGCGGCGACGACGGCGACAGGGACCCGGAGCCCCACACATGCTTCGCCCGCGCTCTGGCGCTTTACTTTATCAACATCAAGCCGCCGATAATTAGCCGCGGCCCGGGGAATTTGGGACCAATAAGAAGCGCTAATCGGCTCTGACGTCAGAGGCGTGCTGGGTGCAAGGAAACGTTTTCCATATCGATTGCTAATTATACCTGACATGCACCTCAATAAACAGTATCAGGAACTGTCACAACAAGACGTGCGGTGGGGGGAGCGGCGGGGAGGGCGGGCGGGGAGGGCGGGAGGCTCGGCGCGGCCGGGCGGGGCCCCCGGCGAGCCCCCCACTCCGCCCCCCCCACCGACGCTTCCGCCCCCTCCGCAAAAACACTAATAGATTTCCCTTTAAAACATTCACCGGCGTGTTGTGGGGATTTTTCACCAGAAATGCTGTACTCTCTGAACCTTTAAAGTGATGTTGCTCCAATTACAGAGAGACATTGAGCGGCAAATAGACTGATCCAATAATAGGAGATTCATCATCCGCTCTTTCCGAAACTGTCACATTGAATTTAAAACTACAAGGGCTTCTCCTCGCCAGCTCTCTCCCGGGCTGCAGGAGGCGGCGAGGGGAGGAAGGAACGGGAGGGGGAAGAGGAGGACTGAGAGGGGGAGGACGGAGAGGAGGAGGAGGAGGAGGAGGAGGAGGAGGAGGAGGAGGAGGAGGAGGAGGAGGAGGAGGAGAAGGAGGAGGAGGAGGAGGAGGGAAGGAGGGAAGGAACGTGGAGGGGGAGAAAAGTGGTGGGGAGAGGAAGGGGGAAAGGAAGAGGAGGAGAGAGAAGGAGGAGGGAGAGGGAGGAGGGAGAAAAGGAGGAAGGAGAGAGGAAGGAAAGGAAGAGAGGGAGGAGGAAAAAGAGGGAGGAGGAAGAAGAGAGGGAAGAGGGAGAAAGGAAGGAAGGAGAGAGAGGAGGGAAAGGAGAGAGGAGGAAGGAGAGGGAGGAGAAACAAGAGAGGAGGAGGGAGAGAGAGGGGAAGGAGAAAGAAGAGGGACAGGAAGAGAAGGAGGAAGAGGAAGAGGGAGGTAGAGGAAGAAGAGAGGGAGAAGGAAGAGGAGGAGAAAGGAAAGAGGAAGAGAGAGAGGAAGATAGAGGAAGGAGGGTTTGAAGGGAGGAGGAAGAGAAGGAGAAGGAAGAGGAGGAGGAGGATGAAGGAAGAGAGAAGAGGAATAGGGAAGAAGATGGAGTAAGACGAAGATAAGGGAGGAAAGAGGAAGAGGAAAGAGGAGAGAGAAGGAAGGAGAGGTAGAGAAGGAGGAGGAGGGCATGTCTAAGAGTGACCTGGACAGAATGCAGGACACTGGTGCCCTGTTGGATAGCTTCGCTGCTGTCCCATATGTAAAGGGGATAAGGGGCAGACCCCCCCCCCCCCCGCAGAGGGTGGGAGGTGGGGGGGTGGCAGTACTCCCCACCTTATCCCTCACCCCATAGAGGGCCCCCACTCCAAGGCAGAGGGACAGATGTGGCAGAAGGTAAAGGAACATAACTTTGGGACGGTGGCCAGTGGGATCCCTCCCCAACAGACAGGAATACAGCACATAAATACATCTCTATTGGGCCCCCAACACATGGATTATAATTAAGTTATCCTGTCAGTGAAGTGCTATTCCCTTCTCCACTTTAAAATATTGATAGATTCCAAGTAAATCATTAAAGGACATATTCTTAAATAAGCAGTAAATTTAGATTGTGAATGGAAGGAAGTCAGGTGTGTGTGTGTGTGTGTGTGTGTCCTTTGTTGTTGTTTAAAAAGAAGTTTGTCACTGGGCGCACGCTTTGCTGGGCCCCGGTGGTGACCTGCGGCCTGAACCTCTCCAGTTAGACAGGCCCAGTCCAGGGTGAAGGTGGGAATCCCGCTGCGGTCCCCGCTGCCACCCTCTGGAGCGCTTAGCCCCCACGGCACAGGGACAAATTGGCTGATGGTAGAAGTCTCTTCCGCCAGGTTGGCAAACCGGATTCCTCCTCCAAACGGAGTGTGGGAAGCACGGAGCAGGAATCTGCGCGCCTGTCCCGGGCACACCCCGAGTGTGCCCGGTGGAGGAAGGGAGCCCAGAGCCGCTGGGCTGCGGCGAGGGGTCACGGCCGCGTCCCCCCGCGCCAGCTTAGCCCTTGCAAGGCTGGAGTCCTGCGACCCCAACTGGGGAGGGCGCGCGGGTCCTCACCCAGAGATCGCTAACCCCGGCCCCAGCCCCCAGGCCAGCTTCCACTTTATGACTCTCGGTTTTCTCTCCTGGTGGGGAAGAGAAAGAAGGCTGCAGGGCCCGGGGACAGGCCTCCCCGAGAAACGCTGAGGGTGCTTGGAAAAGTGGCTTCGGAGGTAGGGCGCGGCCTTGCTTCCTTCCAGCCGTCCTTCGAAAGGACGCTGGAAGCGTTCGTTCCGAGGTCAGGGGCCAAGAGCACTCCTTTTCGCCATAATTTAATTTCTTTCCCTATAAATACGAAACGTAAACTCTGTCCATCCGGCTCGATTTTTGCCAGTGGCCAAGAGCAAGCCTGGGTTCCCCCCCCTCCACCTTCTCCCCCTCCCCGGCCCCCTTCACCCCTCCCTCCCACCCCCACCCCCCCAACCCCGCTCGGGGCTCGCGAGCGAGGAAAGCGCACGGCGCGTGCTTTGGAATACAGAGCCGCGATCAATTCGGCCCGAGGGGAGGGCCGAGGAGAGGGGGGGCGGGGGGCGGGGGCCGGCCCAGCTCCGCGCCCATCTCTCTCTATTAGAATGAATTAATTCGACTTTATTTATCCCATTTTTCTGGAGCTGACAGAATGTTAATTTGAGTTGAAATTTCGCTCGCCTCTCACTCTCTGACCCCTGGCCTTCAGATTGGCGTGTTGTAATAACCTGAATCTTTCAACAGAGGCCCTGATAATTGTTACCTTATTAGCATGCAAATTGTTTAATTAATATTATTATGAAGAAGCACACAATCCGTCCGTCACTTGACCTCAAGTGAGCGCGTCCGCGCCGCGCCGCGGGCTCCACGCGCCCAGCTCCATCGCCCGGGTGGGTTTTTTTTTTTTTTTTTTCATGTGCTTGGCCCTGGCTCCGCGATCGGGGGGAAAAGGGAAAAAAAAATGCTCCTCGAGTGTTGGAGAGGGGTCTTTAATGGTGGTGGGGGCGGCCCGGCGACCCCGCCCGCCTGGAGAGCTCTTCAGAGGCCCTCGGAGGCGGCGGCTCGGCGGGGAGCCGCTCGGCTCCTGCCCGCCCCCTCCTCTCTTTACCCACCTACCCCCCCTCCACTCCCCCCCCCCATTCTGAACATCAAAATTTCATAATTGCTTTCTTGTCAATTGCCGCTCCTGGCGCGGTCGCTTTAAAGGGCTCCCCCCGCCCCCGGCGCCCCTCCCCGCCCCGCCCCGCCCCCTCCATCGCGGGGGCCCCCGGCTCCTCCAAACAGCTCCACGGGAAGCAGCCCTTGACACGCGGTCCTGAGAGACACCGCATTTAAATCCTTTTTTTCTACAGCCGAGTGACATTGTCAGATGCTAGCTTTAATTAACTTGATAATAAGACGTACACGACTCGCATTCAGGACGCCGCTCGCCTCGCCTTGTTCCACGGCTCCCCCCCACCACCCCGCACCAGCACCAACCCCAGCTCGGCAGCGCCTCCGTCCCTGCCGGTACCCCCTCCACACGCTCACACACACTCACCCACACACTCACACACACACAGGACCCGGCCACCACTCGGATCCGCGGGTTCGAGGCTCTGCGGGAGGGGGCGCCAGGGATGTCCAGGCCTCGGGGTCCGAGGGTGATTCCAGCCTGGCCCAGCCTGGACCCTGTCGTCCACCAACCAGCTCCGAATCGGAGGCAGAGGTGCGCGCGCAGCGCCAGTTGCTCTCCCAGGGCGCACAGGGCCGAGGCCCGACGGGTCGTTCCAGACAAAGGACCCAGGCCTGCGCAGCCACCTCGACGTCCCGGTCTTTGCCAGCTTCTGGGCCTTGTCCCTGACCAGCCCGGACCTTCCCTGTCCCCCTCGGCCCTCCACACTCTTCCCCCCTCTCCCCCCCCCCCCCATCCTGCGGATGCTATACCACCACTGTGCCAAAGCCTGCGCGCCCCCTGGACCGGGCCCAGCTGGCCTCCGGAGCCGGGGTTTGGGGCAGGGCAGCCGGGACACCTCGACCTCGGGCCCAAGGGGGACCCCCAGGGCTGCGTAAGCAGGTGTCCACAGCCGTGTCCCCATCCAGATAAAACTAATAAAATCGCCCATCCAACGCTGATGTCAATATTACTTTAAATTACACAAAATCAAATTTATTTTTAATTAGCAAATTAATAGGCGGCAGTTGAGGGTTTTAATTACTCAATTAACTTCACGCAAGTTAATTTTTAACTATCTAAATTAACTTGCACATTACTCGATTTGCTGATAATTACAGAATTAAATCTAAATTAATTGTTGAAGGTGATTTGATCCGTTGCTGAACTGAACGCGATTCCAATTAACCAGCAAAGAGATTTTGTTGATGTTTTCAACAACGAGAACCTTTGATTTGATTTGATGAGGAAAACTACTTTTCAAAACTCCCCTCTGATCTTTGGAAAATTGTATCCTTCTTAATCCGGACAATTAAAACTTCCCTTCATATAATTATCTATAATTGTAATTCTGTCAAAGCAGGAGAGAAGAGGGGGGAGAGAAAGAGGGAGAGAAGGGGAGGGAGGAGAAGGAGGTGGTGGGTGGGGGGTGGGGTGGGCAGGGACGTGAAGACGATTGATTTTGAGTTTTAATTCACTTCATTTCTGATAGAAAGAAAAAAGTAATTCGCTTCAAATTACCTCGTTCAATCTTGACATCCTAATGCCCTTCAAAAAATCTTTTTTTTCCTCTTGCATTAAAAAAAAACCCTGAATCTGAA